AACCATTAAAAGACCAGGGCTGAACAAACGAGTTAATGAGCAAATGCACAAAAAATATAATGCATTGTCTATATTTTGTTTGTTGTCATTTGCAATATACATTTAAAATAAACTTAGTTCCGTCATTCTTACCTTTTTGCAAAATAACAATACCATTATAAATACAATATGATATAAGCTATTAAAATATATATGAAAAAAAGTTTTCTCAAACATGTTTTTTTTCTCAATATATTGTTTTTCTCCTAAAAATAGAAACAAGGAAATAAAAGTAAAACTTTCAAGGCTAAGGGAAATTTTTTTAATAAATAGTAACTTGAAATACTGCCAAAAAACGATACACAAATATTACAGTTTAACGTTTGCGGCGTTTAACAAGTGAATCAAGAAACTCTGTAGTTTTAGTTTTTCTTTTCTTCATCTGTAGTTGCTCTCCACCAGCCAATTTATTATCACCAACTGTCCCCTGCTTACCCGCCGCTTTGGTTTCTGTCACCATACTCGAAACCATTTTCGATCTACTATCGCCATCATCATCGCTCTCCTCCTCCCTTTTTTTGTTTTTCTCATCTTCGTTATTTTTTTTTTTAGTCTCGGGGTTTTCGGTGGTTATACCTTTGGATAACCTGCGTTTCAGTGAGAGTTCCTCGGCTGTGAGTATTCCGGGTCCGGAGTGCATGTTGGACATCATTTCTTTGTGAGAGAGGAATTTCGCACCGACGCCAAGTCTTGCTGGGCGTCCTTTGAAGATATCTCGGGCTTTGGTTGGGGCAGAATTGGGTTTGCTCTGGTTTTCGTTATCGCTTTCGTCGCCGAGCCATGAGTTGACTAGGTCGGAGGCACCGTTAGCGGATGCCCGTAGCTGCGCCTCGATTTCCTGGACCTGTTTAATTCTGACCTTGTCCTGCGCTGTGAGTTTGACCATATCCTTAATGTGATAATAATGTAAATAAAATAATAGTTTCTAATCTTTTTAATGTAAAAAATATATAAAAATATTATAATTAATGATTTATCGAAACACTGGCATACAAAAAGGGCTATGGGTGAAGTCCCGTGTATAAACCAGTTACGAGCCCTAATAATATCTATTTTTCTCTCTTTCTCGGTCGCGTAAGTGCAAGAAAGCCAAATGGAACGCCTCCAGCAATTACTAGACAACCTTTCTACGCTTTCCGAAGCGCGTAGACGTGCCAAGGTTGGGCGGCCACTCGTTACCCATTTCTGTCCACAGATCCTTTGCAGCTCTGCGCACAAGCGCCTTATAAAACCTGTACTCCTCCTGGACCTCCTCCATATTTTTAACAATATCCCGTATCTCTGACGATTCTCCTCCTGGTGCTGCAGCTGCAGCATCGCTTGGCTTGTTCAAATCATCAAGTGCGGGTGTGATCTCTTTTTGCCTCTTTGACCCGCTGTTGCCGCCACCGCCGCCAATTGAGCTGGCATTTCTTTTGTGCTTGGCCTGAACCTGGCCCAGCTTGCTGGCCAGTGGCGGTCGGCCACGTCTGCCCCCGGTCCCTGGTAATGCCGCTGCTGCTGCCACGGTGGCAGGGTTAGGCCGTGGGACGCGTGGGCGGCGGTTGCGTGCGGTTGGCTGAGGCGTGGTGATCTCAGGTGTTGTGTCGGCAGTAGCTGTGGATGCTGGAGTATCCACAGTGAGCTGCCGCTGTTGCTGCTGCGCGTCTTCGTCATCAGCCTCGTTGGCGTCGTCAGCATCTTCTGAGGGCACTATTGGCTGTAATGAGGGCGAAGGTGGTTGGTCGGCAGATGGGGTTTGCACCTGCGATACATCGCAGATTTTGGACATTATCTCCCCATGCAATGCTTCCGTGGTGTCCTTGGTTTTTTCGACAATTGGGTTATCCTGGGCATCTGGGATTTTCTCATCACGCTGCTGCTGCTGCTTGGGCAACCGACCATTCTCAGCACCCATAGGCGCAGAGTCTAGCAGAGCATTCGATGTCAGCGGCGACCCGTCAGACTCAACACCACCATCCTCATCCTCCTCCTCCACAACAGCAACAGCAGCGCTACTGGCCTCCAGCTGATCATATGTCACATGATTCCCCGCTCGGATATCTGCATCTCCACCAATCAGCGGCACCAGCGACATGTCCACCTGATGGGCAGTACCAGTGGCAGTTTCCTGGAGCGTGAAGGGTAGTACTATGGTTTCGCTCCCTGTCTGCCACAGGCGCCACTGGAACTTTGTGTGCACCAGGCCGGTCCTCAGATAAGACAGTGCGCCCTTGATGGCTTTGTCACGGAGAAACGACGGTGATGTGGCAGCAAAATCTGTGAATGGCGGCTGGCTGGTGTCGAATAGACGCAGCTCACTGCCCTTGACCGTAGAACTACAACGGAGGTGTTAAAAATGAAAAAGCAAGGTTTTTTTAAGGAAATATAAAATATAAAAGATTGAAGAGTGGTATAGCAGAAAGTAAAAAAAAAACATAGTCCGCGCAATGCCGATATGCATGCAATGCACACAATGTATTTTTTATTTTAAAAATCGTCCCAGAAGCAAACTCATTAATCACAAGAACTATGTTTATTCTAGGGATGGCTTGCATTTTACTGCTCCACAAAAAAAGAGAAAATCAATTAACACACATTATAAATCAGGAATGTTAAAGGCGTAGGTTTACTTACTATTTAAAGTCCTCAAAGTACTTGACCAGATACTCCTCTGGTCCCAGGCTCAAACAGCCCATGGTTGCATCAATTTCATCTGTCGGCACGATCTACATTGCCAACCAATAAAGAAAAAAGAAAATTATTAGACTCTGCATTTCGATAAAGAGAAATAATTCCCCGTTTTTCTTTTCTGCCAAAGTTTCATTAAACCGAATTCAAAAGGGCTTACCATTGCGGGCCACCAATAAGGGACGGAATAGTCCAAAGGGTCAACGAAAACAACGTCGCGGCCGCGCCACCGATACTCCACAGCAGATATCAACGCTGTCTGTTGTGTTGGGCCCTTGGCCTCCTCATCAACGTCGGCTATTTGTGTGGGCGGTGTGATGGTCGCGCTGTTGCTCCTGCTCCTGCCCCTGCTACTCAAGCTGTTGGTGTCAGTAGTTGACATGCCTGACTTAGCGTAAAGTGCGTATGTTCTGTGTGAGATAAACCAACGACAGCGTGAAAGTAAAGACAAATAATTACAAATATAATGGACAAAAGCGAAAAGGGTAAGGATCCTTGTCTATGAGAGTTAAACGCATATACCTCTATTGATACACACAGAGGAAGGGATGGTAATGAGAGTTGAGAAAAACGTAGTGAAAAAGGCGATGTAGGTTTATCGTCTCGCGGACAATAAAGACAAGTGTAAAAATGAACAAGGTGGATACAAAAAAAAGCAAAGAGAAAAGGAAAAAAAGGAAGTGAGTCTCTGGAAAACCGAAACTGTGAGCCAAAAAAATTTTGTGAAGGAAGAGGGTGGGGGGGGGGGTCTAAAGAGGAGATGAGAGGGGAGGCATAGCAGACGGGTCCAATACCCACCCCCAATCCCCTATAATATTTTATTATTATTTATTTTTTTGGTCAGTGCGTCACTCTCGCCAAACAAGGCTTTTTGTTCCGTTTGCCTTGGCAAAAAATAGTTTTAAAGCTTGGTCCTTTAGGACCGTCTCGGTTGCCCAAGCCCAACCACAAGAACGGAAGGGCTAGGCAGATGGGCAGATGACCAGACCAGAAGATGAGAATAGAAAGTTTATATTTCTAGCTAAATGTTCTTCGGCTTTTACCAGTAGTAATGCGCTGCTGCTGCTGTTGCTGCTGCTGCTGCTGTTGCTGTTGTAGAACTGGCGCAAGAGAGAAGGAAATGGGAAAATGGCAGTAAATGTTTTATTTGGCAGGTTAGCTATGCCCTTCTACATACCTCGGAAATTTAATAAATTCGCCGCCTCCACCCCCCACTCCACTGCTCAATCAAATCTGCGAATCTTTTTCTTTTCTTTTCTTTTTTGATTCTCACACCAAAACAAGATAAATAGTCCGATTCTCTTTTTCACACCCCCTTTTTCACCCGTTCTCCTTATTTGCACATTTTTCATAGATAATCTCTACTAGCCCTCAGTCGCCTGCTCAACCAATGTCACTTATTTCCAACAACTACGGTGCTTTGTCGGACAACCCAGCGGCATCATCGGCAGCAACAGATACGCTGCAGTCGGATAGCACTGTCGACGAGCCGGTCCTGTGGGTCAAAGAACTGACCAAGCGCAAGGACGACGACACGCATCTCTTCTACGACGTCTCATTCAGCCTGCGCCAGGGCCAGGTTCTCGTCGTGCGAGGGCCCAGCGGCGTCGGCAAAACCACAATCCTCCGGTGCATCGCCCAACTGACCACCTTTGAGGCGGGCACCTGCACGCTCAGCTCCGCCCAAGGCCCCCGCACCCCGGCGCAGCTTGGCATTCCCACCTGGCGTGCCGACGTAATGTACGTGCCACAGCGGCCGGCGCAACTGGCCGGAACGCCGCTGGACTTCATAGACATGGTGAATTCCTTTGGCGTGCAGGCGCAGAGAGAGCATTATGATCCGGTGGAGATTGCTGAGGACTGGGGGATTGCGCCGGAGTTATGGGAGAAGAAGTGGCCGGAGTTGTCCGGTGGTGAGCAGCAGAGGATTGCGCTGGCGGTGGCGCTGTCTTGTGATCCCAAAGTGCTGCTGCTGGATGAGCCCACGAGTGCGCTGGATCCGCAGTCTACCCTGATGGTCGAGGACACGCTGGCACAGAGGACTTGCGTGTGGATCACTCACGACGATGCGCAGGCAAAGCGCATTGCCTCAACGACACTGACCCTCAACTCGGACGCCTCCTATGACCTGTTACCATAACCAAGCCCCCCTAGCGCCCTGCTCCCTGCTCCAAACCCTTTCCGCTTCACTCGGGGGTGTTTTTTTTATTCCATGTACTGTATTTTATACTTTGTAAGCCCCCCTTTATCTTTTTATTTTACCACAGACTATGAGCAGCACCAATCCAAACTCGCGCTTCATCTCGGAAGCCGCCATTGAAGAATCCCGCAAAGAGCGCGAATCCGCCTGGCAAAAGGCCTACGACTCCCACCAACGGCCGCCACCAAGCGACGCCTCGTACGACACGCGCACACTCTACGAGCGGCTGCAGGAGCAGCGGCGGCTCAAAGACGACACCCTTGCCGAGTCCCGCCGCTTCGCCAACCAAATTCGCAAACTCGACCCCGAAGAAACAGAGTTTCTCGAAACCGTAGATGACGAGGAACGCGAGAAAACCGAAACCCAGAAAAGATCTGAATTGGCCGCGTTGGCTGCCTTCAGGGAGGAGGTCGTGGAGAGCCAGAGGGAGCGCCCAAAGAGGAAACAGTCGAGTGGGCCTGTGAGCGCTGTAAGGGGAAGCCTGTTGGATAAAATCCGTGGCGTGGTTGTGAGGCCTGCTTCTGCCTTTGAGAAGAATCCAGAGAGTGCTTGTGGTGTGGAGCATGGGAACAAGAAAAAGAAATTGCGCCTGGGATGTGATGGCGTTAAAGATAATGATGATGGCGATGATAAGGAATTGAATCCCCTCGGGTTGTTGGCGTCTTACGGCAGTGACAGTGATGGTGATAGTGACAGCGACAGTGGCAGCAATACCGGCAGCGGCAGCGCAGAATAGCAGGGTTGAGGAAATAAAAAGCGCTTTGTTTCGTTTTTCTGCATGTTTTAAATTGCATTAAACCGGATTTGGCTTATCGCCACATATTGATTTACCTCTACATGATAAAGTTTTAATTTAGTTTTCTTTTGGGCTTTTTCTTGTCCGAGCAAAAAAACACGTGGAGATTTCATCGAAATTACACCATGAAAGAGTAGTGCAAGACAAACCCAGAATGGTTTTGTTGGTCCCCCCCCCGCCCCCCCTTTTTTCTGACAAAATTCCCTCTCCCACCCTCCTCCCCCCTTTCTTTCTTCGCGCTCATCAGTTCGCCCTGTCATCCTTTCTTTCTATCGCTCTCCTTCAATTGATAATCTACTCGTCCAGCTTCTTCTCTCGCAAAATATATAAGAGTACTCTCGCCTACATAGCCGTCGCCTTTACACTGTGGCAAAAAAAACCACCCCTCCTCTCTGATCAAATCAAAAAAGAAACCAACGCAATGAGTCTCGGCAAAACGCACCCATCCGAAGCAGTATCGCCTTGCGCAGAATCCCGCAGTGTCATCGACCCAGACACCTACTTTGACCACAACCAGCCACCATCGAACCTCCAATGGGCCCACACCGCAACCCAAGCCTTTCTCAAACAGCAGCCGGCCAACCAACGTGTAGTACTGATAACCAGCGGCGGCACAACGGTTCCGCTAGAAAACAACACCGTGAGGTTCGTCGATAATTTCAGCCAAGGTACACGCGGAAGCTGCTCGGCCGAGCAGTTCCTGGCTATGGGCTACGCTGTGATCTTCCTGTACCGCGAAAAGTCCCTGCAGCCCTTCAACAGACACTACTCGGACAGCACAAAGGGCCTCTTATCCTATCTTGAGCTCAGCCCCGAGGGCGAGGTTAGGGTGAAGCCTGAGTGGGCGGATAGGGTGAAGGGTGATCTGGGGCTTTATCAGCAGTACGTCGAGGGAGGGAAGCTTTTGATGATTAATTTTACGACCTTGTCGGATTACTTGTTTTTGCTGCGCGAAGTCTCCCTTTTGCTGGCGCACCTGGGCCCCCTGGCGATGTTTTACTTGGCAGCAGCGGTCAGCGATTTCTTCATTCCTTCGCATATAATGTCCGAGCACAAGATCCAATCAGGCGACGGTGATCTAACCCTGCGTATGAACCAAGTGCCCAAGTTCCTGGGTCCTTTGGTGAAAAACTGGGCGCCGGAATGTTTCATTGTTTCTTTCAAGTTGGAAACCGACCCACTGCTGTTGGGTCCCAAGGCTAAATATGCTTTGAAGAAGTATGGTCATCAGATTGTTATTGCTAATATGCTGAATACGCGCAAATTCCAGGTGTGGCTGTTTACAAGGGAGTCTGATGATGCTTTTTTGATCCAGATTACCAAAGAGCAGCTCGATGCTGGCAGGGATATCGAGCAGGATCTTGTGGAAGAATTGTCGAAAAGACATTTACAGCTTGTCGAGAATACAAAATTGGACGCTTAGAGTAAAATACACAGAGCAGTAGGATTGTTTTTTTTTTTTTGTATTTTTTCTTACATAGTAGTAGAAAATTATCGATATCTTATCTATAAATAAATATATATATTCCCGCTTGTGTCTCATATATGCCATATTCTATTGGCGCTGACAAAATTAAGCGTTTGTCGAGTCATTTGTGTGTCTCACTTTGTCAATCATGTTCTACTTGCCTTGAGGTTTATAATGTTTCGGCCACCCCTTTCGAAATGGCACATAATTATGCGGGGGGTAACTTTAATGCAAAGTAGACAAGTTGACAGAATGTTTGTAACGGTAAATAGCACCATCGATTGAAGTTATTTCGCTCCCCCCATCATCCAAATAAGCACTCATTTGTGCAGAAATGGAAACCGCAGTTGCTCAAAATGTATCTATTTTGTTTGTGTTGGTTATGTGCGGAGAGGCTGAAAGCTGGAGAAATAAAGAGATGTGGAGATAAATAAACTGGTAGTGACTGTTTGCTCTCAAGAAATATGTGGAGATAAAATAAAAGTTCTTTAAATTAAGGGTTCCCTCACACAATGTTTGAAAAAATAACATCAAATATTTTTTTGGAATGCTATTTATCGATACTTCCAATAGTGACCCTCAAGTTACTGACTCTATCTTTGTCAACCTTTTTTCCAGCTTGTTACAAATCCTCTTAAATTTGTATATGATAAACTCACGTACTTGTCTTCTTTTGCTCCCAATCTTTCTTTTTTTGCTGTAATTTTTAATTTTGATCTCTAACAAGGAAAACTCCTCTTTATTTGTAATACTTCCGCTTATATTCACAAATTTATCAGGAATTTTCTTCCCGTGCTTTTTTGTTATTACTACAAACAGATCATTTATTTTACTCAGCAACTTTACAACATAATATATAGTAAGTAGCTCGTGCAATCATTTTACACCTTTAACAAAAAACAAACAAACAAGCAATAAACATAAACACGGCACAATTTGGCTTTTTTCATTTTCTAACAATGGAAAATAAACATTCCTTCTCAAAAATTATTTATACTGCCTTTATTCTTGTTTTTTTCTTTGAGTGGGGGACTCGCAATCTACTCTTTAAAAATATTATGGCGATTCACATTCTCTTGCTTGCACACCATATATATATATATTTTTTCACATGTCTCATTCTTTGGCTATTTTTCAACCATTATATTTATTCCAGTAAATTCCAATTACTGCATTCTTCAAACACGAACAAACATCTAAAATAGCATTAGGCCCGGTAGACTATAATCTATACTTTTAAAAGTTACACTAACTACCAAAAAAACCCATCTAAACTCACCCTATCACATATATGCTATATCTCCTCTTGTTCCTGTTGTCTTTTTATCTTCAAAATATTTACACGTTGTCACTAATAATTTTAATATTTGTTTAATATTTTTTATTTGGTTTATTTGTAGACTGAACATAACCATCGTTCATTACACAGAAAGCACTATAATTCTCGATATTCCTCTTTTTTAAGGCTAATGGCACGCACAACGCTTTCGCTAATAGCCGTGGCGTGGCTCCTGGCTGCGTCTCGAGTAAATGCTGGTCCGATTGCCATAGGTAAGAAAATCACAATACACATTGAAAACGCAACTGTACATTTTTGTTCCAATAAAAAAAATACTGCAACTAACACAACATTATACATTTTTCAAATATTCTTTTTGTGTAATTTATAGCTGGCGATAACGCTGCAACCGCAGCAGAGCTTGCCAGTCTCGGCGGTCTCCTGCAGGCCCTCGGTGCTGGAGTCATCGGCAACGGGGCTCTCCATTACCCCACTGCTGCTACCTCGCACCAACGCGCCGAGTCCGAGATTCTTGCCTCTGACACAGCCACGCGCATTCTCAATAAGGTCAAGTCGATCCTCAAGGATGGAGGAATTAATGACGACGAGGATGATAACGGCGACGATTCCTCCAAATCTGTCACCTACATGATCAAGCCCGCACTGATCTTCCACAAGGAGGAGCTGCCCCCGCCCAACCCGCTTGCCGGTAACGTCATTCCTTTGCCCGGAGGTGCCATGCTCTACACGCCGACGCCCACGGGAAATATCAACGGCGAGCCCACAAATGGCCCTGCTGCCAGCATCAAGGCGGCATACGGTAACCTGTTTGCTGCCTCTCCCTACACGCCTTCGTACACGCTGAACAAGCCCCATGCAGCGGTTATTATTGAAGAAATCACCGACATTCTGAGCCTCAAGAGCGCCCTCAACCGCATGGAGGAAGCCGGCGAGGATGTCAGCGATGACGAGGATGAGGATGATGACTATTCTCGCAAGCACAGGGGCAAGAAGAACGTGAATATTGTTAGTCTCGAGACTATCGATCCGACGTCGGCCTTTATTAACCCATTCACGCGCGCTGACTTCCCCTTTGGCCTGATGACCCCGGCGCCACTGCCCACCGTTGCGCCCAAGAAGTTGGACGAGGGGGAATCTATTTCCAAGAAGGTCGAGAAGAAGACCATCAAGAAGGCCCTCCCTAAACCCTCCACCAGTGCCAGCTCCAGCGCGCAGATCAGGGCATCGATGGGTAGCGACGGTGGCATCACCATCATCAATGACGGTGTCATGTTCACACCCTCGTCCAGCGCCACAACCCATGGGACCACCATTATAATCCCTGCCGCGTCGTTGCAAAACTCATCAAGCCCATCGCCCACCAGCTCCAGTGCATCCCCCACGCCATCCTCCAGCGAGCTGCCGGCAACTAGCTTCAGCTCCAGCTCTTCCTTGATCATCCACGAGGAGGCATCCTCCAACGAGGATATCAAGGCCAATGAAGTTTTGCGCTTTGCCAATGTGCACCACTCCACCTCCGCCCCAGCCAAGGCTGACCTTGGTGGCAACACGCAGGCTGGAAGCGTCCGTCGTGACATTTTCGCTACGTCCAATGACCCGCTGACCATTGCCGAGCCCACTGTTGAAATGTACGTGGCCTCGAGCCTCTCGAGCCTGGCCATGTCTGCAGACTCCAACGAGGTTGCTTCGCCCGCCGTGACCATTGGCAGCAGCTATGTCAGCCCTGAGACCCACGCCGATGGTATTACCTCGGCGGATATCGGTGCCCATTCTTTGGAAGTTCCCAAGCGCCGCAAAATGCACATTGTGCGTGTCTACGAGGTCAAGAAGAACAAGCAGTCA